GCCCCACAGGACTCGCTTCTGGCCGCGCCCATCATGCTAGACCTGGTGCTGCTGACCGAACTGTGCCAGCGAGTGAGCTTCTGCACCGACGCCGACCCCGAGCCGCAGACCTTCCACTCGGTGCTGTCGCTGCTCAGCTTCCTCTTCAAGGCGCCGCTAGTGCCCCCGGGCAGCCCGGTGGTCAATGCGCTCTTCCGCCAGCGCAGCTGCATCGAGAATATCCTCAGGTGCGCCCTGGCCTTGGGGCTCCCAGGCCCAGGCCCTACTGGCCACAGGGATTCTAGGGATCGGAGGCCGCGGGGTCCACCGGCTGCGGAGTCCGGCCCCCGCTAACCCCCAGCCTTTTCCCCAGGGCCTGTGTGGGGCTCCCGCCACAGAACCACATGCTTCTGGAGCACAAGATGGAGCGCCCGGGCCTCACGCGAGGGGGGCCCGTGGTCGCTGCCTGCCCTGTGCCTTGCAAGAAGGGACCAGCGCCAGCTGACCCCAACGGCTGTACGGGTGATGCCAACGGGCACTCGCAGGTTGACGCACCCCAGATGCCCACCACTTAAGGCCATGGTCATTCTTCTGCCCCCAAACTCCGGCCTCCATTGCCCCTCAGGACCCAACCTTTCCAAGACCCCTAAAGACAATAAAGCCAGTGCCACTACGGCCACAGCATCACCTGTGGGTTCTTGGCGCCTGCGACCTAATCCTAATCACCCCACCCCCCCACTCTAGACCCCATTTCCCGTTTCTCACGTGGTAGACTCCAACCTACCCTTCAAAAACTGATGTCCCAAATCTTGAGACTTCCAGAACCCTGAAGCCTCTGCCTAACCCCATGATGGAGGATGTGGCTGCAAGCCAAAGTGAAGAAATCTGAGACCAGATACCAAAAACCAAAACCAAGTTACATTTATTGATGGGGCCCACCCCCTGCTGTCCAGGGGAAAAAGAGGTCCCCAGGGAGCCCCCTTGGACAAAATAGAAATGGCAGGAAGGTCCTATACATGAAAGAACGTCTCTGAGGTCCTTGCGTTTTTTGTTTTTTGTTTTGTTTTTTTATAAAATGAGAGTCCTTCGTGTGGGGCCTCCCAGCTGTCCAATCCTTGAACTGGAGTACAGTCGCCCGAGGTGTGACCTCAGACCCTCACCCAGCAGACTGCCCGAGCCCCTGGACCTTGGTCCCAGGCAGGGGCACTGGGCAGAAGCCGAGGCCGGCAGTGGGCAAGGGGCTACTGCCCCATCACACGCTCATGGTCATCCCCGGCGAGTACTGCGGAGAGACGAGGGGGTGGCGCGCGGAGGCGGGCTCAGCTCCGGCCTAGGCTGGGACCCGCCCCCCCGGGGAGAAGAGGGGACGGGGCGGGGCGGGGCGGACGTGGGGGGGGGGGA